GGAGATACCGCCGGCGGGGTGGGGGCAGCGGGGACCGCGGAGCCGGGCCTCGCCCCGTCGGTCGGTCGGTCGCCCCCCCTTCTCGGGGTTAGCACTGCCTGTCGGTTCCCGGCTGTCACGTCTCCACGGTCCGGGGCTTGAACCGAGGTAACCGGTGCCAGGGCAGCAGCTCCCTCAGCGCTTCCCGCCACCTGCGCCGCCGGGATGAGCTTACACTGAACCGCACAAGCGGTCGGGAAGTCTTAAATCCTGTTTCTCTGCCCTCATCCCGATCCGGGAGCAGAGAAGGCTGGAGTTGAGAGAGGGTTATCCCCTGCTGTTCCGTCACCTCGGGGAGCCGGGGGCTTCTACAGTCGGGGCATTCAGTCACGCCTCTGAAGGTTGTTGTGCTTGCAAATCTGGATCTTTTTACGTTAGAATGTTAATTTTCCTGTCACTCCCACCTAAAAATATGAATAGCATCATGTAAACTAACTGCACTTTAATGTTTCTCAAAACACACATTTTTAAAGAAAAGAAATACAGCAGCTAGAAATACGCATTTCAACTCCAAAATTCCTTCAAGATAGAGTTCTTGAATTTAAAAAAAAAAAAAAAAAAAAAAAAAAGGTGATCATGACAATACTGAGATTAACAGGAGTCTGGATTTTTTTGGTTTTTTTTTTTGTTTTTTTTTACAAAATGTCTACAGGAGAAAACTGCAGCAAAGCCTTAACAGAAAATTCTTTTTGAAGATTACTGTTTAAAATAGTCTGAAGTACTGCTGCCAAATAATATTTAAGAATTGTACAGGAACTGTACTGCGAAAAGTGCATCTGTGAGGCTGGCTCTGGGCCCAATATAACAGAATTTTTATTTTATGTTTGTAGTTTAGTCTTGAACTCAGTTTGCTGAACCTACATATTGAGATAAAACACTGGAGGAGAGGCAGGTTTAGTAAGACTTTTGTCTATACTTCTCTTTCAGGGAAATTAACCTAAAAGCAGTTTGAGGGAAACTTTTTTTAAGTGACTTTTACAGCTATATAAATGTTGATGCTGTCTACTAGCTCATGACTGAGTTGCTTTGATGCATCTGGTCAGTTCTTGGTGGACAGGAATCTAGAGGGAATATTTATTCATCTGCCAAGACAGCTCAAATAATTTTTCCCTGCCAGGCAAATTAAAAAGACACTTCTTCCTTCAGGCAGAAGAAGACTGGCACTTGTCAGAGCTTCTCACAGAGGAAAATTGTCCCTACAGCTGAAGGCCCGGTGCTCTTATATTCCTGTGGCCTGTTGACCCTCCCAACAGATCAGATAGCTCACGGTATCCTAGTTGCCAAGTGAGCTTGTCCACAGTCTCACTGGTGCTTGATTTATTAAGCTTAATTGTTGAGGCTAATTTATTACAGGTTCTGTGAAACCTGAAGATGGAGTTTCAGATTCCAAAAAGACACACATGCTCTAGATAAGCAATACATTTTTATTACAGATTTCTAAGTGGCATGATTGTGGCACACACCTTAAATGTAGACTGTAAAAACGAAAATCTTCTGAAAGGCCACATAGAGTAATAAATACATGTATCTGTTCTGAGGAATGTCTGAACATTTAGGAGATTACACAGGGAAGTCATGTGATATAATAAACAACAGTAAAGAGGTACATCCTCACCTGCATCATCTGAAATGTGGTGGTTCTTAGCAATCTTAATGGGTAATCTTCTCATAAGACAAAGTCCACAGGTGACAATCTTAGGGGAAAAATTTCCTTTTCTCAATTTTAAAAACAAATGTCTTTCCCTTGAAAGACAGAATGTCCTCAGAGTAGATTCCTCACATGTACTGTTTGAAGGGGGAGGTTGCAGTTCTGCCTCCAAGTACTATCACTCCCAAGTCATTCACTATCTTCTCTTGCTGACAACTTGTCTCTATGACTGCCAGGGGCAGATCTCCAATGAGAGCTCCTGGACAAAACAGAATAACAGAACTCTGGACTATGCTATTTTTCACATCTGAACTGAGGAAATGTAAGGGTTTTAATTACTTCTAATCTGTTTAGACTTCACTTTTCCCACCTGGCCCAGGAGAACATCTTCCCACCTTTCCTTTAGCAGTCACCCCGAAGAGGGAGAAGCCAACTCAAAGCATCCTAGAGGAAAGGGGCATACCTTGACATACCTTGACAGAAACACCATGAAGACCCCTAAATGAAGATTATTATCCATATTTGTACAAAGTACTGTACTTCTCATTGTACTTCTCATTGTATGTTTTTGCAAGTCTTCCATAGAAATATTTATAACTTTGTGTATACATTAATATACGTGAGTTAAAGACACTGAAAAATCTGTTCAGTAATAGACCAGCTGTACTGTTTCTTTGTTGTCCCATGTTCTGGCCACACTCTTCTTAAATTAATTAATTTAATGTAAAATTGTTCTGAGATTTAAATGACCAGAAGGATCTGTTTGGTGAATGGGTTTTCTACCTGTTTTCCACTGGAAGTCCTACATGTCACAACTGGCTGCAGTAGAAGCTTTCACATTATTGCAACACAAAAGATTTTGATTTCAGGTGATAAAACAAATGCAGATAGAGGTAATTCCTCCAGATAGCTTGATATTTTTGCCAGGGTAAAAAGTAAATACAATAAAATAACCTCAACATTTTGATTCTAAATTACTTACATAAAGCAAAATAGGATGGATGCTTATTAAACTATTCTACAACTAAGTTTTTCACCACTGGAATACACAGTAGGAGTGAATCGTAGGCAAACAAAAATAAACACGTAATATGAAGTACATACAGTCAAAATATAATTACAAGTGGTTTAAATCCTGAATATTGATAATGGGGGAGCATCACTGAACTCTGATCATCTCTCCACACAAATACTCTGAGTGGTTTTCTAGATGCTGTGGGTATCTAGATGTAGAAGTTACAATGAGCGTATGTAAGTATTAACCTTGTCTCTTATAGATAATGTAAGATACACAGGTATACAGTTTTGTTTGATTTGGTTTTCCTGATTCTATGCCCAATGCCTCAACTATAATACCACCCTTACTGCAGCCTCATACACAAATTTCTCTTCCTAAAGACCGCAGTCAGTGTTCTCAGACAGCAGCGTGCACTACCAGGACCAAAGCAACAGGAAAAGCACTTAGACCTCTGCTATCCCAACAGGGCCTGAATTTCTGAGAGGTAAATTACATTTATGCCCTAGAAAGTATCCTTCACATTCCCAGTTTGTCATGCCAGCCCTCTCCATCCCTATTACCAATACTGTATGATGAATAAAGAATCAAACATCATTTGCAATATCCTTTCCTGTGACAGTACAATCTATTGATTTTTTTTCTGTCATTCGTCCTCCACGAGTCTCTGTCTCAAGCTCAGTTCCCACGCAGGGCATGAGAACATACTCTTCTGTACTTGTGTGCATCGCTCCCCCATGTATGGTGGTTTCTACATGAGTACAGAGTTACTGAATTGGCTGATGTGCCCTTTTTGCTTTACTTCTTAGTATTTAAGCAATGTCTCAGAGGGTGGGGTTTGTTTTCCTGTTCTCTCTGCGTATTGTTTTCAGCCTATACCAATCCATTACCAGCAGAGGTCTTTCTCCAGAGATACACAAAGACAAGACAGGTTTATTTTTGACATAAACTGTGACTGTTGCCAAAAGCAGAAATGTGTTCTATGTACGCAGGACATCCAGATTTCATTCCTGAATCAACACGAAATCCAGGCAACCAGAACCTTGAAACTACTTTGGGATTGGTTTGGGTTTTATTTCCCGTCTTAACCAAGAAGGTCTAGGCATAGTAAAACACAGAAAGACTCTTCTGGTATTTCAGAGGGTCTTTATAACAGCAGGGGGCTCTGCTGTGTATAGTACAGTATCTAGTAAAGAAGTTAATGAATATACAAGAGAACTAACAGAGATCTATTATAATACCCTGCCTTTCTTTCCAGAGCAAATAAACCAGTCAGTGACAGCTGTTCAACTATTCTAATAAAAACAAAAATATTTTCCTTATTAAATGCAAACAAGATAGTATTCGTAGCTAGACAACCGATTATTAAGATTTGCCACAGACATATTTTTCTTGTTACTCTAATTTATTAACACAGTAGTTTTGAGTTCTGAAAGTCCAAGACTATTTCTTTTTCACTATTTCAGAGATTTAATCCAGCACCAAGGGAAAAACAAAACAAAACAAAACAATTTTAAGGGTATACAGACCTCCTCTCTTAAGAGAATCAATAATGAGTGGCACTTTGCAAGACCAAGCCTCTTTTAAAATGGGTTTTACACTAATTTAAAATAGAAAATAAGAAAGTTGTGCCATTTCTTTATTTAATTAATAGCTACACATGCCTCTGTAAATGTCTGTTCCTGATGGCTTCTCTTCTTTGCTGTTATCACAAGAGTCCAGCTGACCTGAATGGTCTGAGATCTTGGGGTTCTTTCCCCCCTTCACTGGAATGCAGCGTACATGTCTGCTACCTCTACTTCTTCCACACTACAGTATTTTGGCACACAAGTATAATTTTACAAGGATAAAAATCCCAAAGGAAGTACAATTCACATATCTAATACACATTAGAGTTGGAGAGAGAGGGACTTGATGAGTTACATTTCTGCTCAGCACTCCAGACAACTGGAAGCATTCTGCTCTCTTGCAGCAGAGTTCCCTGCGAGCTCTCCTGGGAGGGCTGACAGTCTCAAACTTGCCTAAGAGCTGACAATATGCAACAAATCAAAAACTTAAATTCCTAAAATGCTGTGCAACCTTGTGTCAGAAAGGTTATAAAATGGATCCTGATTAAGTAATGACTTCCTAGTCAGCTATATTCAGTGGAGGTTTATTCTTTCCACAGATAAAGTACCAGCTAGAGAAATATATTATTATAAGTTTTATCTAAAATACATGGATATTCATACCATGAACAGAATGTATCAGAGGAAAATCATCAATAATAGAAACAGCTAGATGATATTTGCAACATTACCATGAATGAATTGAAGTTGTATTGTTACAGTGTACAGCTGGTAAGAGGAAAGTACTATAGAAAAATCAATTTCTTATACAGACAAGCTTTAATCCTGTTTTCTATTATTCTGGTGTGGGCAACTTCAGTAATCACAAGTTTGCAATACTCAACACTATTACTATGGTCCTCATCAAATAATTTCAGGGTAGCTGTAATCTGAGTACGCTCCAAGTCCTTTCATAAGAAATCAAAGTCCTGCCTAACAAGTCCTTTGAGATCCCATTATTCTGAACTTGGGCAAGAACAGCATTTAAGTGGTACAAATGTTGGCTTTGTTCCCCAAATACAGCTAAATATTGAGCGTTTCCCACTTACAAAGCATTGTGTTCTTCAGAAGGTTGTTACTCATTGATGTCTTTTGGTTTCAGGAAGCCCACATCCAGGTTGCCCTTCCTGTCTCCAGTGCACATTAGAGCTTGTCTGAAAAAGAAGACCATGCCACCGGTGAAAGTATGACAGCTTCTACCAACACAGTGTAACTGCTAGCTATTTCAGACAACTATGACATAGTGATGAGCCAGCTTGAAAGCGTTACAGCATCACCAAGCCGCCCAGGTAATCAAGACCCACTCGTGCTTTACAGTCACTGCAGCACCTGCACTGTCCACCGCAATCCCTGGCGACAAAGTCTAATCAAAGTGAAGCCCACTTCAGTAAATGACATTTTGCATTTTTTGAAGAATTTGTATCTTTTCTATAATTTTACTGTGCTTCTTGAAACATTTTCATTTCTAGCTCCTGTATTTTAGTAAGCTGCTATATTAGTAATGGAAAAAAAACCCCAAACATTTTCCATTCAACTGCTTGATTTTACTTGATTCTTAAAGCAAATGTGTCCAATATGGTGACCTTGTACATATATTTTATATCAGTGAGTTATATGTTGTTGAAACCTTCTAGGGGTAAAAACTTGGTGAGGATATCCCTCTCTAATCAAGCTGAAGCATAACCTACAAAATTACTCTTATGGCCCAGGTCAACAATGCTTTTTAAAAAAGATTTATTTGCTTTGTGAGGCAAGTCAGCTTCAGATGAGATTTTTAAAAGAAGCTATGATTAAAATTAATTATTTATAAATAAATAAATAATTATTTAATTAATATTAAAAGAGTAATAATTTAAATTCTTTAAAGCCTGTAGCACCTACCATTCCATAAAAAGAGGCTTCCAACACTTTATTCTCATGTATCAGTCCTTTTTCATGGGAAACCTTATTAAAATCAACGTTGTCCAGAACAGTTTGGTTCCAACAAAACCATCATTTTTCACTAAAAACCTTCGCAGCGGTTTTATTTTGAATGTAGTTTGTATAAAAAATGCCTTGCAAAATAAAATGATATTTTCATAGAGCACCTTCTGAATTAATTCTTACAAAGAGAATTCAATAGTTATATTACACATTTCATTTTAGGTTTGTGTTTTGGGTAGGGGGGTTGGGCTTTTTGTTTTGTTTTGGGTTTTTTTTTGCTTCTCATGAGAGAATGAGAGCTGGTAAACATTAAGATACCAAGTCACTGAACTGACACTTTTTCCACTGACTGCACTGAGCTTTGGACCAGATCTTAAAGGTTTATGTTCAGTCTGAAGAACAGTAGGAACAGTAATTTCTCTGAAGATGCTCATTATATTCTGAACTGCTACTGTCAGCAGTATGTCACAGGAAACAACCATCCTCCATACTTGTATAACACAGAACACAGAAAGGGTTTGCCCTTTTTGCCTAAAACCCCAAAGTTTTTGTAACGTGATTTCCATTTACTTAGTGTCCTCAAAGATTCCTAAATATCATTAACAACACTTTACAATTTTAAGCTATTAAGCGTAGTTTTCTATCTGGTGTCTTTATTTAAATGAAGCAGCAGAAGAAAACTGAATGCTTAGTTACCACATGCCGTTATCGTAATCATGGGGTTTAAACCATGCAAGTGCTCATGACAAAGAGCTTGCTGAAGGCCTGTCAGAATGGAAACATGTGACAGCAGCTGTTAGTCTGTTTATTAAGGGTTTTTTTCTCCAACTCTCTACCTACCTTTCTATGTATTTATGCATTTGCTGTTGTTCTGTCTCTCCAACTCCTTACCATCAACATGAAATTTATTATTTTAGCTTCCTATGACTGCACGAAAACCATCTTATATCTTTATGACTAAAGATGGAATGCAATGTGGGGATCAAGGAACTGCCCTCAGTAAGCAGTACTTGCCACCTTCTTTATCTGGCTTGTCTGAAATTTGTGTTCATATGACTTGTGTAGGATACATAAATTCAGAGGGCAGGGTGGAGAGAGAGGACAATTTCCATAAGTAAATAGAAAAAAGATATTTCATCCTTAATAGGCCATTGCACAAGATTTTTACAAACATGCATTAACCAGTTTCACAGCTCATGAGGTAAGTTTTCTTTTCCTCCTATGATACATAGATATGCCAAGCCACGATAAGTCAAAGTGGCATAAAACCAGTCACACTGGCATTAGAGTGGAATTCTGACTCTCCTGAAGTCATCAGGAGCTGCTGCTAACTTCAAAAAGCAAGAAGATAGGCACAGCTTTGCCTCAACATTGCAAGTTCATCATACACTCTTTGCTTTCCTGAAAGTATCTGTATTAAAATAATGTTTGGAGATACATTAATCATAATCAAAGCAACAGACACTTTTCCTGTAACACAAAACACTACTTCAAAATATATTGAACACGGAGAGACTTTTTTTCATCCTATTTATCTCCTGTGTGCATTTCTAAGCTTAGGAAACTAATCAGACTATTGTATTTCAAATTTACATATATTAACTTAAATGGTTTGCTAAAAATATATGCTTTGGCTTGTGCAACGTGCTTTTTAAGATTGTTAGCTTTATTCCAATGCTGCCATGCTACATTATGTGCTAACAAGCAGCGTTACAGAATTTCCAAACAAGGTTCCATGTCAGCTAGAGGCAGAAACGGAGATGTCAGGCAGTCTGTACCCTTCCTTCCCGGGAGATCAACCACAGATACTGTGGCAGTGCTGGCTGGAAACTTTCTGCTACACCAGCTGTTTCTGGGGGGTGGATGGGGGGTGGGACAGTAGTGTGTGGAAGAGCAAAGGTTAATTTGCGTTCTTCCCCCAACAAATTAGTGGTTCCAAATCCGTTGGACTTCAATTTTTAATACGCTGGGTAGCATTTCAACCTTGATATCTAATGAACCCTGAAACACACTCAAACCAAGACGTCTGGGAAGTGTACATGTATACAGTGAATGTAAATATTAGAATTTAAAATAAGTAAAACATTCAAGGTGATCTGATTAAAGCTTACTGCAGAAACAATTCTGGTTTTGTTTTTGTGGTAAATTTGGCCTTGACAAGTCTTACCACGGCTTGAAATCTTTTCTTCTGAACTGCATTTTATCAAACCTGGAAAAAAAGCACCATGACACTGCTTGTTAACTGTCAGTCAGAAAGCCAGATTCAGGTAACGCTCAGCTTTCCAGATACAGGACTGATGCCAACTTTAAAGTGTCGAAATATACAGGCCCCAAAACTTGACATTTCAAAAGTTAAAAAAGGTTTTAAATAGGGGGGTGGGGTGGGGTGGAAAATCAGTAAGAAGATGCAGACTGCAGTGTCCTGAAACAGTTATTGAAGCTGCAAATAAACAAAAATGTCCTTCTTGGAACTTGAATTTGTAACATATAGTGCTTCACTGGGTAACTTTGTGAGCAGAATTTTGGAGTGAGGATAAGCAGTGCCAGACATACTCCACTCAGCTTTCACAAGCTGAGCAGTAAACAAGAAAAAGCTTTCAGTACAATGAGTACAATGACTGGAAATAAACGAGGTTTAATTCCTGAGTAAAAGAAACTAGTTTTCTGCACCACCTCGAGACTGCCCCTTCAGCACAAAAACCAACCCATTTCTGTTATTTTGTTAACTATGAATTGGTTGAAATTGTCAAGTAGCAATCATTTTTAAATTAGCGCAGAGCAAGAGCTAAAACTATTATACTTGAAATAGAATAAGGACTGGAACAAATTACTTATGAAACTAAACACTATGGCAAGCAGAAGCTTGTTAGAAGAAATTATTAAAGACAGAAAAAAGACTCAAGATACAGTTAGAATGGGACTCAAGATACAGTTAGTATGGGACAAAATGAAATCCAACTTGGTAAAGGCAGCTTTTTTTCTCTTAACTGAGCAAGGGAAGATATAAAAACATGCAGAACAGAACCCAAGCCTCAAACCATCTAATTTAGGCACCTAAAATAGGAAGCTGGTTTTCTCTAATTCTCTAAGTCAGTGGAGAAAGAGAAAGTAAAAAGAAGGTTCTACACAAACAATTCACAAATAAGCCTGATTTACAGCCCAGGCTCTTACTCAGGGAGGTAACATTAGGTCATAGGAATATTCCTGAGTGAATGATCCCTTATTCCACTCTCGGAGCACAAACAAGGAGTCTCTTCTGGGCACCCAGGACGGGTAAAACGGGCCTTCTCCTCCCTAGGGGCAGCGAGGAGCGGAGAGCGTTTCTCTCGCTCTCCCCTGAATTCTGCCGCTGTTGTATTTCATGGCACATCTCCAGTGGCTTGCTCTGAAAGCTGAACCGGACCCGAGAGATAAAAACATTTTCATCATCTGGAAACAATGAGGAAACTGTGAGAGGACCGACTTGCTCCTGCGGGGGGGAGGATCGGGAGACAGCGCTGCGCTGGCAGAGGGACAGGGAGAGGGCTGAGGCTGCCGCCGCCCAGCCCCGCCGCGCCAGCTCTGCCCCGGTCGCTCTGCGGCAACAGGTGGCCCACCGCGGAGCCCCCG